CTAGAAAAAAACATAGAAGGCCTTTTATTCAGGTGAAAACTCAAGTAGTAAGAAGTAAAAAGTTATCTATGATTTCACTGACGGTTGTCTTGTTTTAAATGAAGTTATGATTCAGTTTTATAATCAAAATGAGACTATCATTTTTCTCTTTATAAAATTTTAATCATTTTAAAAACAATTTGGTAAGCTTTCCTTTTGCAAATGTAATTCCTTTTCATTATATGTCAGAGGTTCTTTCTACTTTGTGTGCTCTTTCAGTCGTCTTTAAAGCAATTTTCTTGAAAGAAGAAACCTTTTGAATTTAAAAATTATTTATTGAGCTCCTGCTATGTATAAGTCATTCTGCTGGTCATCGATGGTTTATTTGGTTCCTTATCAGATCATTTCATTTTTGTACACATGGGCCCGGTGTGCTTCAGAAGTACAAAAACTTCATTCAGACATTTGCATCTTCTGATACCTGCTTCCATGATAGATTTATTTCCTTAAGTATTCTCTGGCTGGATTTATTTGTTTTTATATTTTTCTATTTCTAGCTATTTGTTCTAAGCAGTGTATTCATTTACTGTTGTAAAGTATCCTAAGGAGAAACTGTACTGTAACCACCAGTCTGCAGCTGTATAGGACTTTAAAATTCTATTCTCTAAACTGAAATAAAGACTTTCTGATGTTTGGTAAGATCTTCTGGTCTAACTTCTTTGTTTTAGATGATGTCAGTGGTCTCTGAGGCATCTATACATTTTTCCTAAAAGAAGTCCTGTATCTTTGCTGTATTTACTTAGTGCTTTTGTACCACAAATAAATGTAAAGGTCAGTAAACATGGGGCTGATCTTCATATGTAATCTTAGAAAAGCTTGGCCCACTAATAAATGTTTTATCCAAAAAGATTTCTGTTTGGGTATGTTTCTGTCACCACTTCTCACACCAGATGTAGTTCTTTTCTTGTTTTCTTTCTTTTTTGATGCCAACAGCCATTTCTCCAACACCAACTATGTGTCTAATATTTCAGTTCAATTCTGATACTAACTGTCCAAGAGTTAGCACAGACTCCACTGCGCGTAAGGGCTTAGACCCACAAGACGACTTAAGATGCCACCTGAAAGTTGGGTCCCAAGCTACCGACTTTTCTGCCTGGCTGATTATAAGTTTTGGGGTTCCCACCCCCCAGGGTTAAATAATTTGCTAGGATGACTCACAAGCCTCATGAAAGTGCTCAACTTACTATTAATTTATTAGCAAACATGCAACTTAAGGAACAGCCAAATGGAAGAGGTGCACGGGACAAGGTATGGGAACGGGGTGGAACAGAGCTTTCATGCCCTTCCCCAGAATCAGTGTGTGCATCACCGTGGAAACCCTTTGAACCCTGAAGTCTGTTAGGGTTTTTATGGAGGTTTTTATTACATGAGCATGATTGATTAAATCTTTGGCCATTGGCAATGAACTCAGTGTTCAGCCATTCTCCCTTCCTCAGAGGTCTGGGGTGGGACTGAAAGTTTTAACCCTTTAATTGGGTTGTTCATTTGTCTGGGGACCAGCCCTCAACCTGAAGCTATTTGGGGCTCTCCCCACCACCCCTCCACCATGAGCCATCTCATTAGTATGCAGAAGATAGTAAATTTCAAGGATTCAGAGCTTTGTGTCAGGAACCTGACATAAGGAGCAAATTTTTTTTTTAATAAAACACTTGTATTACTGTATTGCCTTAAATTCTACATAGTGAATCTTGTTGAATATTTTTGGATATAAGCATGTGTGAAATTTACATTTTTATACATAATTTTCCTACAAAATTTATTTTAAGCTTCTCTCATGGATATGTTTATTGATTTTAGAGAGGGAAGGGGGAAAGAGGGGGAGAGAAAGAAACCTAGATGAGAGAAACGTTGATTAGTTGACTCCCTTACATTCCCTGATGCTCCCTGACTGGGGATTGAACCTACAACCTAGGTATGTGCACTGACCGGGAATCGAACCCCAGTTTTTGGTATACAGGATGATGCTCCACCCAACTGAGCCACCTGACCCAGGCCCCTACAAAATTTTCTATCAAATGTGGGTTAAAATGAACAGAAATGCTTTAATTTTAAAATTCTCTTGTTTTTTTTGAAATCTTTTACTGTACATGGTCAGGCTTGTTCCTTGGTCAGTCATGGAACCTAATAGGTTGCTAATATGAAGCAGTGATGAATTTACTAGGGAAGATACAGAGTGGGTTACCCTGGAGGTGTGTTTCCTGGTTTTTGGAGTTTGTTTTATTTTGTTTGTTTATTTTCTTCATATGCTTGAATGACTCAGGCTTGTGGTTCTGGTGAAGGATGACTTTGTTCTCCAAGGGGACATTTGGCAGTCTCTGGAGCCATTTTTGGTTGTCACAACGTTGGTGGGGAGGTTGCTGCTGATATCTAGTGAATCCCTTGTACTCAACCCTTGTACCAAGGTTGAGGGAAGCTGGTGGCCAATTTAGGAGCCACCAGTAGTTAGGAGGTGTTTGAAGCTGTGGGACTGGACACAGTCACCTCAGCTGATGTCCAGCTCTTCAGCTCTGGAGCCTATCCACTTAATTAATTCTACCATTTTGATAGATATGAGAAATGTTTCTCATTCCTGTCCCCAAACACTTAAAGAGGCCACAGTGTGACTCCTGGCCAAGATGAAGGTGTATGTAGGCACACTGTGCCTCCCCGCACAACCAAAATAGGTACAACAAAAATTTAGAAACAAAAAAATAACCAGTACTGATGGAAAACTGAACTGTATGGAAGTCTGACAACCAAGGGGTTAAAGATGAAACATTCATCGAGACCAGTAGGAGGGGTGGAGTTCGGTGGAGAGGACTTGCAGCAGCAGATTGTGGATAAGCACAGTGCACAAGGTGGCTGGAGGACTGGACAGGCCCACATTTGCATGCAGATAAACCAGGAGAAACTGGGAAGTGACAACCGGGGTCCCAGCGTGGGGAAATAAAGCCTCAAAGCACCGATTGAAAACACCTGTGGGTGATGAGGTTCCGGGAGAGACACCCAGCCTCACAGGAGAGTTTGTTGGAGAGATCCACAGGGTCCTAGAACGTACACAAACCCACCCACATGGGAATCAGCACCAGAAGGGCCCAGTTTGCTTGGGGAAATCAGGGGAAAGGACTGAAATCTGAGAGAGAGCACAGCAAGAGCCATTGTTCCCTCTCGGACCCCTGTCCCACATATAGCGTCACAACCCAGCAACTGGATAGCCCCACCCAGGTGAACACCTAAGGCTCTGTCCCTCATAAGTAACAGGTACGCCAGGACAAAAAAAATGGCCCAAACTAAAAATGGCCCAAACCAATAGTGATGGGAAAGAAACTGGGACTCAAATCAATGGAGTGGACCAGCAGGAAGAAAGAAACAACCAAACAGAAAAGAAGAAACAAAAGTTCAAAGAAATGAGGAGAGGCTTAGGAACCTCCAGGACATCTTTAAACATTCCAACATCTGAATTATAGGGGTACCAGAAGGGGAAGAGCAACAAGTAGGAAAGATATTTGAACAAATAATGAAGGAGAGCTTCCCCATTCTGGCAAAGGAAATAGACTTCCAGGAAGCCCAGAGTCCCAAAGAAGTTGGCCCCAAGGCACGTGATAATTACATTAACCCAGATTAAAATGCAGGAGAGAATCCTACAAGCAGCAAGAGATAAGGAGACAGTTATCTGCAAAGGAGTTCCTATGTAAAGGAGTTCCTATCAGACTGTTAGCTGATTTCTCAAAAGAGACCTTACAGGCAAGAAGGGGCTGGAAAGAAGTATTCCAAGTCATGAAAGGCAACAACCTACATCCAAGATTGCTCTATCCAGCAAAGCTTTCATTTAGGATGGAAGGGCAGATAAAGTGCTTCTCAGATAAGGTCAAGTTAAAGGAGTTCACCATCACCAAGCCCTTATTTTATGAAATGTTAAAGGGACTTAAAAACATGTACAGTAAAATGTCAGCAAACTCACAATTATTAACAGCCATACCTAAAACAAAAATAAAAACAAACTAAGCAAACAACTAGAACAGGAACAGAAACACAGAAATGGAGATCACATGGAGGGTTAGCAACAGGGGAGTGGGAGGAGGAGAGAGGGGGGAAAAGTACAGAGAATAAGTAGCATAGAGGGTAGGTAGAAAATAGACAGGGGGAGGGTAAGAATAGTATGGGAAATGTAGAAGCTAAAGAACTTACAAGTATGACCCATGGACATGAACTAAAGGGGGGGATTATGGGTGGGAGAGGGTGTGCAGGGTGGAGGGGAGTGAAGGGGGAAAATGGGACCACTGTAATAGCATAATCAATAAACTATACTGAAAAAAAAAAAGACCATAGTGCATCCTTCCAAATTCCTTAATAAGGTTATTAGTTGATTTCCTGGTTTGGAGAAAAAAATCAATAAAACCTTTACTATCTTTATAGTCCTGGACTGGTATGAAGGACTTTCTAGACCTCCACTGAAAAGTATTTCTATCCAAGATGGAAAGAATTCTGGAGATTATCTACACAGCAGTGTGGATGTACTTAACACTACTGAAGTGTACACTTGAAAATGGTTAAGATGGTAAATTTTATGTTATGTATATAACAATTTAAAGAATTTGTATGAAGTGTTTCGTATTTGCTTATGTGGTGTTCCATTGTATTCCTCTAGGACCGTTGTTCTCAGTTTCTATAATGATTATCTTCTAGTCAGAGAGTTTATAGTATTTCAGGTGATAACTGTACTCTTTTGAAATGCCCCTTAATGTTTAAAGTGTACAAATTAGACCTTGTTTTAAAGATTAGACAGTAATGAATTGGTATGAAGATACAGTATTTTTATTTCAGCTTATTAAAGTTAATGAAAGTATTTCACTAAATTCTTGATTTAGGGAATCATATGTAGTCATTGTGTGGATATTGTAAAATAAGTAGTTATTTAACTTCAAACGCTTTTAGTATAAAGATTACTCAATTCACATATTCTTTTTATTTCTTCCTCATAGGCTTTCAAGGATATGTTGTATTCAGCTCAGGACCAGGCACCTTCTGTGGAAGGTAAGATGTATTAACTTCTATATGTAGTCACATAAAATCTCTTTTTAAGGAAAGATATTTTTAACGGTGTATTTTTCCCTCTTCCCCTCCCCCGTCCAGCACCCCCCACTCTCTCAGGCAATACTCCTACCATTGTTTATGTCCATTGGTCACGCATATAAGTTCTTTGGCTACTCCAGTTCCTATACTGTACTTAACAACCCTGTGGCTATTCTGTAACTACTGATTTTTACTTCTCAGTCTTCTCACCTCTTCACCCATTCTCCCATACCCCTGTCTCATCTGGCAACCATTAAAAAGCTCTCTGTATCCATGATCCTGTCTCTGTTCTTCTTGTTTGCCTTATTTGTTTTTTAGATTCAGTTGTTGTTAGATATGTATTTGCTGACATTTTATTGTTCATTGTTTGATCTTCTTTTTCTTAAGTAAGTCCCTTCAACATTTCATATAATAATGATTTGGTGATGGTGAACTCTAGTATTTTCTTGCCTGGCAAGCTCTTTATCTGTTCTTTGATTCTAAATGATATCTTCATCTGTTCTTTGATTCTAAATGATAGCTTTGCTGGGTAGAGCAATCTTGGCTTTTCCCTGCTTTTCATGACTTTGAATATTTCTTACCCATTTCTTACCTTCTAGCCTGCAAAGTTTCTTTTGAGAAACCAGCTGATAAGTCTTATGAGAACTTTCCTTTAGGTAACTAAGTGCTTTTCTCTTGCTGCTTTTAAGATTCTCTCTTTATCGTTAACCTTTGACATTTTAATTATGATGTGTCTTGGAGTGGGCCTCTTTGCATCCATCTCGTTTGGGACTCTGTGCTTCTTGGACTTGCATGTCCATTTCCTTCATCAAATTTGGGAAGTTCTCTTTTATAATTTTTCCAAATAGAGTCCCAATTTCTTGCTCTTTCTTTTCTCCTTCTGGCACACCTATGGTGCGAATGTTGCACTTCTTCAGTTGTCCCAGAAACTGCTTACACTAACCTCATTTTTTTGGAGTCTTTTTTCTTCTTATTGTTTTTTTTTTCTTCCTTATTTTCCAAATCATTGATTTGATTCTCGGATTCATCCACTCTATTGTTGTGTCCCTGTAAATTGTTCTTTATTTCAATTAGTTTATCCTTCATTTCTGATTGGGTCTTTTTTATGCTGCGAAGGTCCATACTAAGTTCCTTGAGCATCTTCATAACCAGTGTTTTAAAGTCTGCATCTGATAGATTGCTTATCTCCATTTTGTTTAGTTCTTTTTCTGGAGTTTTGATCTCTTCTTTCATTTGAGCCATGTTTCTTTGTCTCCTTGTTTTGCAGCCTCCCTGTTTTGCTTCTATGTGTTAGGTAGAGCTGCTTTGATTCCGTGTCTTGTTAGTTTGGCTTAATGTAGTAGGTGTCCTGTAGGGTGCAGTGGTACATCCTCCCCTGTCACCCAAGCTGGGTACTGAAGGTGTGCCCTTTTTGGGGGCTGAGTACAGCATCCTTTTGTAGTTGAGCCTTGGTCGCTGTTGGCAAATCAATGGGAGGGATTTATCCAGGCCAATCTGCTGCAAGGATTGGCTGTGACCACTGACCACTAACTTCCTCCCTCCGTGGAGGATCAGCTGTGCAGGGGTAGAGTGTTGGTGTAGCTGTCCACTGGGTGCTCTGGCCCTGGGGTTTGCTAGGTGGTGCAAATGTCAGCACCCACCTGTTTTGCCCTGAGTCACCCTGCCTGAGGTATAAAGCAATCTGAGAAGGCTGCTACTTGTGCTGGGCTTGGAGACTCCCAGGCAAAGCCAAGCTGTGAATCTAGGCTGGCTGCTGCTGGTGCCAGGCCTGGGTCTCACTGAAGCCAGCTGTTGCTTATTTAAGAGGATTTGGGAAGTTGTGCAGTACAGCCAAGACCAGCCATTCATATGGAAAAGCAGCTTGGATGGTAATTTGGGTGAGGTGGAGTCTGGGTATCTCCATGTTGGATCAAACAGTGTTACAGTGTTGGCCAGATTGATGGAGTCTCAGATATGGCACCAGCCTGCCTGCTCGGTAGCTCTGCAAGAGGAGGGCTCAGAAAAGGGACAATGGCCTCTGCTCACCCTGCTGCCAGACAGTTTAGCTTCTCCCAGTATGCCACTGGTGCCCTTCAAGCCACCACCCCAGTGCCTGGAGCTCAGAGGGAATGACTCTGAATAGGTGAGTCTGTGTGTGGGTTCTTTAGGAGGAACTGCTTGGGGCTCCAGCAGTTTTTTACAGTGACTCAATTCCCACTGTTTTGTGCAGCCAGAACTTGTGGGGACTTATCTTCCTGACACTGGAACCCAGGTGTGGGGCTAGGACTCCTCACTCCTGAGATGTCTCTCCTGAATTTTTATCCACTGCATGTGGGTGTGGGACCAACCTGTTCCACTTCTGCACCCCTACTACCTGTGGATGGATTTGGTTTCTTTGATTCTGTATTTGTCAGACTTCCATTCAACTCAATTTCTGATGGTTCTGAGTGATGGTTCTGTATTTTAGTTGTAACTTTGGTGTAGTTGTGTGAAAAAGTGAGCCTTGTCTGCCTACACTGCAGTGTTGACTGGAAGTCCCTTTTCATTTTTTTAAAATATATTTTATTGATTATGCTATTACAGTGGTCCCATTTTCCCCCTTCACTCCCCTCCACCCTGCATACCCACTCCCACCCACATTCTCCCCTTTAGTTCATGTCCATGGGTCATACTTGTAAGTTCTTTAGCTTCTACATTTCCCATACTATTCTTACCCTCCCCCTGTCTATTTTCTACCTACCCTCTATGCTACTTATTCTCTGTACTTCCCCCCCTCCTCCTCCCACTCCCCTGTTGCTAACCCTCCATGTGATCTCCATTTCTGTGTTTCTGTTCCTGTTCTAGTTGTTTGCTTAGTTTGTTTTTATTTTTGTTTTAGGTATGGCTGTTAATAATTGTGAGTTTGCTGACATTTTACTGTACATGTTTTTTCTCTTCTTTTTCTTAGTAAGTCCCTTTAACATTTCATAAAATAAGGGCTTGGTGATGGTGAACTCCTTTAACTTGACCTTATCTGAGAAGCACTTTATCTGCCCTTCCATTCTAAATGAAAGCTTTGCTGGACAGAGCAATCTTGGATGTAGTCCTTGTCTTTCATGACTTGGAATATTTCTTTCTAGCCCCTTCTTGCCTGTAAGGTCTCTTTTGAGAAATCAGCTGACAGTCTGATGGAAACTCCTTCGTAGGTGACTGTCTCCTTATCTCTTGCTGCTTCTAGAATTCTCTCCTTCATTTTAATCTTGGCTAATGTAATTATGATGTGCCTTGGTGTGTTCCTCCTTGGGTCCAACTTTTTTGAGACTCTCTGAGCTTCCTGGACTTCCTGGAAGTCTATTTCCTTTGCCAGATTGGGGAAGTTCTCCTTTATTATTTGTTCAAATATCTTTTCCACTTGTTGCTCTTCTTCTTCCCTTCTGACACCCCTATAATTCAGATGTTGGAACGTTTAAAGATGTCCTGGAGGTTTCTAACCCTCTCCTCATTTTTCGAATTCTTATTTCTTCATTCCTTTCTGGTTGGACATTTCTTTCTTCCTTCTGGTCCACTCCATTGATCTGAGTCCCAGTTTCCTTCCCATCACTATTGGTTCCCTGTACATTTTCCTTTATTTCACTTAGAGTAGCCTTCATTTTTTTTCATGTAATTTGCAACCAAATTCAACCAATTTCTGTGACTCTGATCACCAGTGCTTTGAACTGTGCATCTGATAGGTTGGCTATCTCTTTGTCATTTAGTTATATTATTTCTGGAGCTTTTATCTGTTCTTTAGTTTGGGTCATTTTTTTGGTCTTGATGTGCTTGTTAGGTATGAGGGGTGGAGCCTTAGGTGTTCACCAGGGCGGGGCTATCCAGTTGCTGGGTTGTGACGCTGTATGTGGGGCAGGGGTCTGAGAGGGAACAATGACTCTTGCTCCACTCTCTGCTAGTTTTCAGTCCCTTCCACTGCTTCCCGTAAGCAAACTGGGCCTTTCTGGTGCTGGTTCCCGAGTGGGTGGGCCTGTGCACGTTCTAGGACCCTGTGAGTCTCTCCAACAGACTCTCCTGTGAGGCTGGAACTCTCTCCCGGCACCTCAACCACCACAGGTATTTTCGATCTGTGTTTTGAGGCTTTATTTTTCTGTGCTGAGACCTTGGATTTCGAGGTCTGTCTCACTCCCCAGTTTCGCCTGGTTTATCTGCATGCGAATGTGGGACTGCCCAGTCCGCCAGCCACCTCGTTTGCCATGCCCCTCCATAATTTGCCACCTCACTGGGTCCGCCTGCCACTGCTTTGCTGAGACTCCTGTTTGCCCGGCCACCTGACTCCGCCCCTCCTACCAGTGTGGATGAGTGTGTCAATCCTTGGTTGTCGTATTGTCGTACTTTCATACAGTTCAATTTTCCATCAGTACTGGTTGTTATTTTGTTTCTAAATTTTTGTTATTTTTATTTTGGTTGTTCGAGGAGACACAGTGTGTCTACCTATGCCTCCATCTTGGCCGGAAGTCCCTTTTCATTTTTATAATATGTGTTATGATTACATTATATTTCAATCAGATTTTTGTTTAGTTCCCATTTTCCCTGTGATGGATTTCTTATGTGTTCTTAAATCACCGTGGCATTGTGAATCACAGATGCTGGCTTAGAGTCAAAGTTCTTATCTGTGTCATTTTTACTTCCTCTGCCCCTCCCCCAAATGTATTTTCCTATCTATCTCTCTATGCATCAACCATGAGGGAGTTTTTAGTCTATAATTAGTCTGGGCAACACATCTTTTTCTGTCTCTTTCTGTCATGTCTTTAGACTGGGTCTACTCAACAGAGTATATCTACTGTGTGTGTGTATGTTACAGGTGTTTGTTTATATGTATGCAGGCTCACAGTTTGGCAGTCATAAAACAATTGCTATAAGGACAATAATTCTCTCTCTAATTATCCTTATTGATCCTTCATTTTCTTTCCCTTAGCTTCTGCTCACCAGCTCATTCTTTATGGATTTAACCT